AGCCAGGAGCCAGGAACTTCTTCCAGGTCTCCCACAATGGGTACAGGGTCCCAAAGCTTTGGGCCATCCTCTACTGCTTTCCCAGGCCACAAGCAGGGAGCTGGATGAGAAGTGGAGCTGCCGGGATTAGAACCGGCTCCCATATGGGATCCTGGGGCATGTTCAAGGCAAGGACTTCAGCCGCTAGGCCATGGCACCGGGCCCTCTAAAAATATTTCTAACTAGCCATTTTTTCTAGACCATTTTTTTATGAGGGTGGGGGAGACCACATCATGCAAATAGCTTTTAGCTTGCTATGGAAGATGTTGTAGCATACCAGATTAATATTCCACTTGGAACACCCAAATTTCAGTCTGGTACGAATTCTGCTACTCTGCTTCTATTCTAGCTTCCTGCTAATGCCCTTGGCTGAGAGCAGATATTGCCTTAAGTACATGGATTCCTGCCATCTGGCTTGGTCTGCCTCTTCCAAGCACTTGGGGAGTAAACCAGCAGACGGAAGATTATCTGTCTTTTCAGCACTTCCACCTTTCAAATAAAGTTGTTTTTTTTTTTTTTTAAAGAGGAATGTTATGTGATGATTAAGGTACAAATCAAGTCTATATGCCCAAATATGCTGGCAATGTTCAGTAGCTAGATGAGAAAAAGGATTCTTCCCTAGACATCCAAGAGCATGACCCTGCACTAATCTCCAGCCTCGGCGTAGGAGACATTTCTATTGACTTAAGCTAACCATATTTTGGCAATGCTATGGTAGCCTTAAGGAACTAATCGGGGGGAGGCATTATAACCTGGAGGAGTAAAGACACTATCTGCTGGGCCTGGTGGCGTGGCCCAGCACCTAAAGTCCTCTCCTTGAATGTGCCAGGATCCCATATGGGCGCCAGTTCTAATCCCAGCAGCTCCACTTCCCATCCAGCTCCCTGCTTGTGGCCTGGGAAAGCAGTCGAGGACGGCCCAAAGCCTTGGGACCCTGCACCTGTGTGGGAAACCCGGAAGAAGTTGCTGGCTCCTGGCTTCAGATCAGCATAGCATCGGCCGTTGCGGTCAATTGGGGAGTGAATCATTGGACAGAGGATCTTCCTCTCTCTCTCCTCCTCTCTGTATATCTGACTTTCCAATAAATAAATAAATCAATCTTAAAAAGAAGACACTATCTGCTACACTGGCATCCCATAAAGGCATTGGTTCAAGTCCCAGAATCCCACTTCCAATCCAACTCTGTTAATGCTCCTGGGAGAGCAATGGAGGATGGTCCAAGTCTATGGACCCCTGCACCCATCTGGGAGACCTGGAAGAAGCCCTGGACTTTGGTCTGGCCCAGACCTAGCTGTTGAGGTCATTCATGAAATGGGTCAGTGGAACTGAAGAATTCACTCTTTCAAGTAAGTAAAATCAATCTTAAAAAGCAGAAGAAAAACCTGAAGACCACTCACTGCCTGCAACGCCAACATCCTGTGCGAATGCACGTGCAAGACTTACTGCCCCACTTTGATCCACCTCCATGCAACTATGCACCTGGGAGCAGGAGTGGAAGATGGCCCAAGTCCTTGGGCCTCTTGCATCCACTTAGGGTTCTGGGGTTCCAGGGCAGTCCCAGCTATTGTGGGCATTTGGAGAGTGAACCAGTGAACGGAAGATTTATTTCTCTCTCCTTTTCTAACTGCCTTTCAAATAAGCAAATAATCCTTGAACACACACACACACACATACACACAATATGAAACAAACTAACCACCAAACATACATTAATGGGTTCTTTACGAAACCCTAAGAATGAAAAAGAAAACAAACCTCTCGAAGAATGGCATTGCCATCATTGGTCATCACGATGCCACCCATAGGATCCAACAGCATCTGCAGAAAAAGCAAAGTTACAATTAAAGTGACTTAGACAATGGAAAGGAAAAATTGATAATCTACATTTCCATAAGAAATGATTTACCTTCATCATGGATTTGGGTCCCAAACATGTTCGAATGATATCTGCAATGGTCTAATGGAAGGGAAACAGAAGACAGCACAAATTAAAGGGCAGTGTAAATGTTCGGGAAAGGGGCAAAGTCAGTGTTTCTTCCACGAGAGAAGTTCTAATGGAGGGTTGCAATTACTTGCTATCTAATTTCTGGAGTCTCCCCTATTTGCAGGAAGACTTTCAGCAAAGATGCAGAAAAACAAAACAGAACAACCCATCAAACAAGGAAAGTGAACCCCATAGCTTTAGGTTCCCATCAATCCAAATCTTACTATTTTTTTTGGCATGCCAGTGGTCTGCACACCACCATGAATCAGATTCAGAGGTAAGAAGCTATTTTTTTCAGACATTTACTTATATTTAAGCAGGCTCTATAAAGCACTCTAAAAATACAAAAGGGACTTGAAACAATAATCCCTCCCCTCAATAACAATATGGTACAGGAGATAAATGTAAATAGAACATAATAAAGCACACAGCAATAGAACCATGCAAAGGTTTGTAAGAGATCATCAGGAATACTACAGAGCAGGAAGGCCTATTTCTACCTATTATCACCAACTAAATGCCTGTAAAGAGTGAAGTCATTTTTTCCCTTTGATCATTGTGCATTATATTCATGTGGCTTGGAAAGTAGCAGAAGTTAGTCCAAGTATTTGGACCCCTGCCACCCACATGGGAAAGCTGGTGGAAGTTCCAGGCTCTGGCTTCAGCCTGGAGCCCTGAGGACAGTGGCCACCTGTCCTGATGGAAGACCTCTCTTTCCTGTGCTGTCACTTTGCCTATTCAAAGAAGTTTAGAAAAAAATCTAGACTCACACTCACATTCACATCTACAAGTAAATACAGAAATGCTAAGGAAGTCAGCTGCAGGGCAGACTACTGCACGCACGGTAAGGTTATGGTGCTACCTTGGCAGCATTGATGTTTCCAGACTGAACTTTTCTTCCGGATTCACGCTTTGTGTTCTGGCCTAAAACAGATAAAAACAAGTCAAGAAGTCCAGCAGTGCCCCTCTGTACACAAACTAGTTACTCCCCGACCTTAAAAACTGAGAACACACAAAATTGACAGCATGTACACCCAACCAACCTTGGCAAATTGTACACTTCAAACTGCTCAAACAAACATATACTTAAGACTGCTAACCTTCTTCAACTCCTGGATAACCCACAACACTCCAGCTTCACAATCTCCCAAGCTTCACCTAGTTACAGCAGGAATTCATCACCGCAGGTCTCTGGGTCAGGGAACTCACTGACATTAAGAGAGAAACGCAGTGACAATAGCTTCTCCTCCAGAGAATCCACAGCTACATTAGCAAACTCGTAAAGGGTTAGCACCCCAAGAAAGTACCAATTCCTGCTTCTGGTACTCAGGAAGAGTTCAGGGGTTCTTATTTTCCTGATTGGAGGATCATACTTTGACAGCCCCAGTGTAATCACCAATAGTGCCCCCACCATGTGATGGGACGCCAATCTACAGATGAGAACACATTTAAGTGTCCCAGTCTGCAGGATGGGTTCTGATTGCCCCTTTATTGGAAGTGCTGACTACAGATTTTACTAGGGAACCCAAATGGTCACAACCACTAATGCCAGCGATTCTATCCCAGCTTCACAGATGCCTGGCTCACGCAGGGCCAGTGGATGTCACCTACACAGCACTATGCCCTATTTCCCTCCCCCTTCTAAATCATACATTTCCCCCAAATTCAACTCGGTCATCTTTCAACCTAGTCCCATCAAACTCAAACATTCATTTAACACTTCTACCCAAGACTGTGTAACCAAAACCTTATAGGCACCTATGGTCCACCAGGAGAAAAAAAAACTCGGAGGGGACAGAGGAATGGTTTTTCTTAGGCTGCTTTCTCAAGCAGAGAAAATGAATGAATCTCGGCACAGCGATCAGCCACGGAACACCCCAAGGAGGGGAGCCTGGATGGTTCTGCAGACCGCGGGGGGAGGGGAGATTGCCAAGTAGGGCAGTTAACGCAGGCAGGGATCCTCAGAAAGAAATAATTGGTGTTCCCAAAAGGCAAAGGAAATTCGGGGAGACAATGCAGAGAACTCAGGACAACCCTACATCTTCTAAGACCTGTAAGAGAAGCAGGTGTTAAAACAAAAAAAAATGTAAAATGACCAAAGATGCGGCCTGCTCTTTGCCAGGCCTCCCCCTCTCCTTGAACGCTCAGGATCCCGTCAGGGGAAACAAGACTTAAGCCCGCCACACAGGTGGACCCGCTTACACTCCGCAAGCTGTCCGAGGTCACACCGCTACTTAAAGGATAAGCCAAGATACAAAGGCCGAACTTGACAAAAAGAAAAGTCATTACTCATTCAACCACCAGGTGAAAATCCATGATGGGAAACGGTGCAGGGGCGTGGAGCTGGGTCGGGTCTCGGGAACGCACGACGGAGAGGGGACTGCCCGGGACCCACACACGTGAAATGGAGACGAGGGGGCTAGGCGAGGGAACGGTCAGTTAGCATTCGCGAAAACGGCACACGAGGATGAGTCAACGGGAGAGGAGAGTGGAAGAAGGAGCTTCCAAAATGAAGACCATGACTGCAAGGCTCAGGGGCTGGGTCAAGGCGGAACCGGGCTGGGAAAGCAAGGGGTAAAAAAAAGCTTGGCGGGAGCGAGCCGAAAACTGGGTCCCTTCCCCCAGCATCCCCAGAACTCACTGAGAACAAGCACAGGACGATGGCCCATCATGGCGGCGCGATGCAGAGCCGGATACCCAGAGCTGAGGGAACCGGCAGAACCTTCTGGAGAGAGAGAACCAGAGAGAAGCCCACAAAACGCTGCCTCCTCAGGCCTTACACCTCAACCCGCTACTTCGCGGGTCACCTCCAATCACCGCGTCTATTTCGTTGACTGACCCGAAAACGCACCAATCGACAACCTTAGCCCCGCCCCCTACGCATGAACGGCAGGACAAGCTAGATAGAGAGAGCGCGATGATGGTCAAAGGAGGGCACTTGCGCTTGCGCAATAGGGTGGCCGCTCCCGACCGCGTGCGGCGCGAACAACGGCGCAGGCGCTGAGGCTCGGGGCCGTTGGCATAGAACTGAGCATGCGTACCAACTACAAGGGTGGGCGCTGGGGTTGAGGTTGTCGACTAACACCGCAGGTGAATTCATTAAAACGTCTGCTGCCCCTGGGCGCCTATCAGACGGTGAAGACCCAGAAAGGCCCCACAGTTTCTACTTTCTTCCTGCAGCCTTAGCAATCGGGAGGCATGGCAGGGCGGGGCCTCACGGCGACGCAGGGAAGTGAAGCCGGTTGGGTGAAGGGTCATGTGAGAGTTGTAGTCCCGCTGCGCCGCCGGGTTGGGCCGACGGGCCTCTAGGCACCCTGGGAATTGTAGTTCCTCGCCTCTAGCCGGGTGGCTACTGTGCTGTCTGACCTTTTCCTTCTTGAGCAAGGGAACCAGAGTGTGATGGCTTGTCTTTTCTCCCGTTTAAACACTTCTCAAACATTTTTGATAGGACTCTGAGGTGTTTTTTTTCCCCCGCATATCGCTGTCTCGCGGCTGTTCCTTCACCCCGGTTTCTTAGAGATGATGTAGGGAGGCCAGAGGTTTCCAACTGGACCAGAAAAAGGCCAGAATCCGATGGAAATTGATTCTGTAAAGAACGCGGAGGATCATTCCCTGTTCCCAGAAAACTTTTTTTAAAGATTTTGTTTTGTTTTATTTTGTTGTTGTTGTTGTTGTTATACAGAGAAGAGGAGAGGCAGAAAAGAAGATGAATCATCTTCCGTCGGATGATTCATTCCCCAAGTGGCTACAATGGCTGGTGCTGAGCTGATCTGAAGCCAGGAGCCAGAAGCCTCTTCTGGGTCTCCTGTGCGGGTGCAGGGTCCCAAGGCTTTGGGCCATCCTCAACTGCTTTCCCAGGCAGGGAGCTGGATGGGAAGTAGGGCAGCTGGAACATGAACCAGCACCCATGTGGGATTCTGGCGAATGCAAGGCAAGGGTTTATTCAATAGGTTATGGTGCCAGGCCCCCTAAGAAACTTTTGATGTTTGGGTTGGATTCCAGGGCTTTTTTCCTCCGGGAATGGGGAATGAAAGCAATGACTGGGGCCTGGCCCGGTGGCCTAGTGGCCAAAGTCCTCACCTTGAACGCGCCAGGATCCCATATGGGCGCTGGTTCTGATCCAGCTCCCTGCTTGTAGCCTGGGAAAGCAGTCGAGGACAGCCCAATGCTTTGGGATCCTGCACCCGTGTGGGAGACTTGGAAGAAGTTCCTGGCTCCTGGCTTCGGATCGGCACAGTGCCAGCCATTGCGCTCACTTGGGGAGTGAAACATCGGATGGAGGATCTTCCTCTCTGTCTCTCCTCCTCTCTGCATATCTGACTTTGTAATAAAAATAAAGTGAAAAGAAGAAAGAAAGAAAGAAAGAAAGCAATCAAGCAATGACTGTTGAAATAGTTTTTCTAAATTAATGAAGGGACTGGGCACATGAACAGGCCCTTCTGTGGGGCCTTAATAAAGTAGGTCTGTTCCCGCATCTCCCTTGGCAGATTGGAGCCGCCTGGGGTCTGCTGGAGAGAGCTTAGGAAGCCAGTAGCCTGGGGTTGGGATCCTGTGATGCTACATTTCTCTCATAGGAGCCAGACCTGTGGGCGTTCAGATGGAGCCGTCCGCTAGTCATCCTCCAAGCAGAAAAGGTGCGTGTCCCACCCTCTCAGTCCCCTTCCTCATTGCTGGGTGTTTGTGGAAAAGATTCTAGGCTTTTCTGATTTTTTTTTCTTTTTTTTAACCTGTTACTTGGGAAGTATTTGTATTTATTCTGCCTCTCCTCACACCACCCCCCCAGGACTTTATTCTGAGTGTCTAGAACTGGATTCATGAATAACAGAAACTGAGTAATTACTTGTTGAATAAATGTATTCTTTTGTATCTTAATGCCTGAAACAGGAGTCTGTATACAAGTATGTCATACACTGTGTGTGTGTATCTTTAAAGATTTTAAAATTTGTATTTGAAAGGCAGATTTACAGAGAAAGAAGGAAAGAGAAAGGTCTTCCATCCATGGGTTCACTCCTCAAATGGCCACAGGGGCCGGAGCAAAGCTGATCTGAAGCCAGGAACCAGGAGCTTCTTCTGGGTGTGCACAGTGGTACAGGGTCCCAAGGCCTTGGGCTGTCCTCTGATGCTTATCCCGGCCTCAGGCAGGGAGCTGGATGGGGGGTGGAGCAGCCAGGACACGAATTGGCACCCACATGGAATGTTGACCCTGGCAGGTAGAGGATGAGCCACAACACCTGCCCAGAAGATGCAGTGTTAACTAGCATGACCAGATGCTCAGTTGGAGTGGGACAGTTTCACCTGTGGTCAGGGGGATGCCTGAGGCTGTCCCCTTAACTAGGTAAGAGTGGCTCACTTTATCTGAGAAACTGCTTTGTCGTAGTTAGGATAGGGATTATCTGACTCTTTTCTGGAGCATATCGTGCAGTAGTCTAAGAATCTACAGGCCCGGTGTTGGATTGGTTGGTTTGTTTGAAGATTTATTTGAGGGCCCGGCGCGATGGCGCAGTGGTTAAGGTCCTCGCCTTGCACGCCCGAGATCCTATATGGGCGCCGGTTCTAATACCGGTGACCACACTTCCCATCCAGCTCCCTGCCTGTGGCCTGGGAAAGCAGTCGGCCCAAAGCTTTGGGACCCTGCACTGGCGTGGGAGATCCGGAAGAGGCTCCTGGCTTCTGACTGGCATAGCATCGGCCATTGCGCTCACTTGGGGAGTGAATCATCAGACGGAAGATCTTTCTCTCTGTCTCTCCTCTCTGTATATCCGCCTTTCCAATAAAAATAAAATAAATCTTAAAAAAAAAGAAGATTTATTTGAAAGGCAAAGTGATAGGGAGAGACAGAAAAAGAGCTTCCATCCATTGGTTCACACCTCAGATGGCTGTGCCAGACCAAAGCCAGGAGCACAGGTGGTGCCTCTAGCCTACTGTTGCAGTGCCATCCCCCAAGCCCTGAACCGGCTTTGTGTCTTTCCCTCCACACCTCTTTTGTCCACTTTGCCATTTCCTTCCTCTCTTCCTCTTTTTCAGACTCCTGAGGAACTCCTTGGAAGTCTAGTTTTTCTCTCTTTTTTTTAATACCTTGTAGAGCTTGTTTACTTTTGCAGTTTTTTCATTGCCATTTTGTGGTTAACCTGGCAGTTGGGCCTTTCAACCCCAACTTGTTGCCATATCTTTGGCTATTTTTTCCCCTTGTCCTTTCTATATGGATTTCCAGTGATCGCCCCCGATTCATGCAAATGCAGTCATGTTAATACCACAGAGCTCTAATTCATCCTCCCTAGAATAAAAGAAATGATGCAGGCGGTAGGGCGGCTGAGGTGCATCCCAGGGTAGGAACAAGGAGAGCTGCCAGCCCCAGGGCCTCATGGCTTGGGCCTGGTGATTCAGCACCTGCTGGGGTCTGCTTGTACCTGCCTTCCCTCCTCACATGCCTTCTCGTGGTGCGCTGGCTTTCCCTGGGCCCAGCACAGTCAAGGAGGAGAAAGCAAGCTGCTGTGATGCAGACTCCTCACGTTGATTCCTGGGAGTGACTCAGGCTCAGCTGCCCTCGTGTGCTTACCCCTTGGATCAAATCACAAATGCCAAAGTGGAATTGAGGCCACATACCAATCCTGGCTGGGGAGAGGGGGTTGGCACACGTAATAGTCAGGCCTAGAATCTGGGAAAATAGTTTCCCAGAGGACTGAAGTAACACCTGTCTGTGACAGACTCATCTCCCTACATACCCGTTTTTCCTTCTAACTTAGCCTTCCCTCACCCCTAAAGGAAATCTATATTCCCACTGAGGAATCACTTCCTTGTCCAACTCAGCTTGTTTAAATGTGATTAATCAGATTTAATCCAAATACTGTTCAGCCACATTTTTTTTTCTACAACAAGGCCCAGGGACTTTGTGTATTCAACAGAAGTCAGCATAACCCAGGAAGTCTGTGCGTGGCCCACTCTGCTTAGTTCTGAGCAGTTTCCCAAGGGCTCCCTTGTTCCAGCTATGTTCCTATTCCCTTGCAGGGTTTTTTTTTTTTTTGAAGATTTATTTATTTTTATTGCAAAGTAGGATATACAGAGAGGAGAAGAGACAGAGAGGAAGATCTTCCATCCGTTGATTCACTCCCCAAATGACTACAATGACCAGTACTGTGGCTATCCAAAGCCAGGAGCCAGGAACTTCCTCCAGGTCTTCCACACGGGTGCAGGGTCCCAAGGCTTTGGGCTATCATCGACTGCTTTCCCAGGCTACAAGCAGGGAGCTGGATGGGAAGTGGAGCTGCCGGGATTAGAACCGGCACCCATATGGGATCTCGGCGTGTTCAAGGAGAGGACTTTAGTCACTAGGCCGCCGGGCCTGGCTGTTCCACTTTCAATCCAACTCCGTAGTTATGGTCTGGGGAAGCAGTGCGGAATGGCTTAAGTCCTTGGACCCCTGCAGTCTCATGTGGGTATGTAGGAGACCCAGAGAAACTCCTGTTTTTTTATTTTTCGATTTATTTTCTTGAAAAGGCAGATTTGCAGAGAGAAGGATACAGAGTTCTTCCATCGCTGGTTCACTTCCCAAGTAGCTACAACAGCTGCAACTGAGCTGATCCAAAGCCAGGAGCCCGGAGCTTCTTCTGGGTCTCCCATGTGGGTCCCAAGGCTTTGGACCATCTTATGCTGTTTGCCTATTAGCAGGGAGCTGGATGGGAAGTGGAGCAGCTGGGACATGAACCAGCAAGCAAGCAAAGTGAGGATTTAGACATTGCACTGCGCCCCCTGTTTTCATATTGACTTGGCTCCAGCTGATGCGGCTATTTGAGTGTGAAACAAAAATCTCTCTCTGTCTCTCCTTCTCTTTGTAACTCTGCATTTTAATTAAATTAATTAATTAATTAAAAATTGCAAAGTCTTTGGGTGTGTCATAGCACCATGTATAGAAGTGAGTGTGTAGGACCCGAAGCGGTAGCCTAGTGTCTAAAATCCTTACATTATGTGCACCGGGATCCCATATGGGCACTGGTTCTGATCCTGGCAGTCCTGCTTCCCATCCAGCTCCCTACTTGTGGCCTGGGAAAGCAGTCGAGGATGGTCCAAAGCCTTGGGACCCTGCGCCCACTTGAAGGAGGCTTCTGGCTCCTGGCTTTGGATCGGCTCAGCTCTGGCCACTACAGTCACTTGAGGAGAAAATCATTGGACAGAAGATCTTCCTCTCTGTCTCTCCTCCTCTCCGTATATCTGACTTTCCAATAAAAATAAATAAATCTTAATGTGTAGCACATATAAATAAGAATGTCCCTGCTTGCTGTCCCTTGGTCTTAGTCACACATGTTTCTGACATATAAGGTATTTGGGACAGGGCCTGAGTACCTGCTTTTTTTTCCTTTTTTTTTTTTTAAGACTTATTTATTTTTTCTGAGCTAGGCAGATCAGATTCACGGAGAGAAAGAAAGATCTTGCATCTGCTGGTTCACTCCCCAAATGGCCGTAACAGGTGGAGCTGAGCCAATCCAAAGTCAAGAGCCAAGAGGTTCCTCATGGTCTCCTACTTGGTTGCAGGTTCCTAAGGCTTTGGGCCCTTCTCTATTGCTTTCCCAGGCTGTAAGCGGGGAACTGGATAGGAAGTAGAGCAGTCAGGATACTGGCACCCATATGGGATCCTGGTAATTGTAAGATGAGTATTTAGCCACTGAACCATTGTGCCGGGCCCTCAGCACCTGCTTTGGTACACAAGATGCGGGTGTCTGCTTAGCAAGGTTCATCCTCATTAGGATGTGCTCTGACTTAGCTACCTCTGCCTTAGTCCCAGCCAAAGAGGAAGGCAATGCTGTCCCTCTTTGTCGAGCCAAACCCTCCCCCAGCTACATCAATCTTCAAGCAAGTTCCCCACCATCTGCTTTCCTCAACATCGAGACCACAAAACTATCCCCAGGTAAGAAGGTAGGGAGGGGTTTCCCAAAGGGACCCAGCAGGGCAGAGGGCGGCCTGGAGGAGGTGGCTACAGCTTGCTTTCTCCTGGGGGCTGAGTGCCAGCTCCGTACCAGCATGCCTCTTTTTTTTTTTTTAAGGTTTATTTTGTTTTTATTGTAAAGTCAGATATACAGAGAGAAGAAGAGACAGAGAGGAAGATCTTTTGTCTGATGATTCACTCCCCAAGTGGCCTCAATGGTCGGAGCTGCGCCGATCTGAAGCTAAGAGCCTCCTCCAGGTCTCTCGTGCGGGTGCAGGGTCCCAAGGCTTTGAGCCGTCCTTGACTGCTTTCCCAGGCCACAAGCGGGGAGCTGGATGGGAAGTGGGTATGCCAGGATTAGAAATGGCACCCATGTGAGATCCCGGATGTGCAAGGCGAGGACTTTAGCCACTAGGCTACCGTGTCTGGCCCTCTAGATTTTCACTGTTGTGCGTTTTCCCTATTGCATTGTAATTGGTGAATTATTCAATTCTGGTTGATTTAATTTTCCTCCCAGTTGTATCAATTTGTGTTGCGTTGCTTATTGGCACCTTGGCTAAACAGCAATGACATGAAAAGCTTACTGTTTGCTGATAGTATTAGTTGCTAGGGAAAGAAATAGCAATGGTTAGTCCAGACTTGTTCTGTCTGGGTCTCAGAATTGCCTCCGCTGTGGAAGTAGTGGTTCCCCGGCACTCTTGGGGGGAGCCCAGCAGGGTGCTAGATGGTCATGAGGACCCCCTTGTTGAGGACGTCAGGGTCTAATCAAGAATCAGGGCTGATGCACAGACTAACAACAGGTGCCATAATTGGCAGAATTAGCTAGGAGCTGGCTGAATACCGTGTTGTTGGATTCACTGGGCAATATGGGCTAATGCACCAGGGGTCATTGAGCTTAGGGAGAGGGAGAACTTCAGGCCCCTGCTGACAAGTACCGTGTCAGGTATGAGATGTCCGAGGTGTCCCTTCAGCTCTTCAAAGTTAGGTAGGCCTCACTTCCAGGCCATTTTATCCACTCATCATATGTTTGTTAAACACTGAGGTGCTGGGGAAGCAGCAGGGAACACATCAGACCAAATCCTTGCCTTCCTGGAGCTTATATTCTAGAAGGGGGATTTAGACAGAATTTAAAAAGGACTAATTAGAGAAGATGCCAATGATCTTAAGTATTGAGGGACGAGTAAAATAAGGTGGAGGGGTGATTGGTTTCAACTGGAACTAGGATAGCCAGCTAAGCCTGCGGACAGTGACAGCCAAGTGAAGGTGCACCCGGTGGGGTTGTGCCAGGCAGGATTGTTGTGCCACCTTAACAGAGCCCTTCCAACCCTGGTACAATGGCAACTTGTTTCTCCTCTGTTTCTTTCACCACCTCCTTTGCCCTTCTTTCAGGAGTTGACCAGCAGCCCAAGGAGTGCCTGGGACTCCTAGAGAGTATGCATGCCAATCTCCAGCTTCAGACCCAGCTCGCTCAGCGACAGATGGCTATTTTAGAAGACTTACAAGCATCCATGACACAACTCTCTCCCAGGAGGGAAAGCAAGGATTCCTCCCTCCCAGCCTTATATGGTAATCTGCTGTGAGATCACCCGCCCCAATTCAGTAAACGAATTGTGGAACGAAGTTACCGAGGTTGTTTTTTTCCCTCTGCCCTCCCTGTAAGCCCTTGGAGGAAACTGGGCTGTATATTCTACAAGCGGTTCATTTGTTCACAAGTTCATGAGAAATGCTCACTGAGTACAAAGCTTTGCACTTAGATGCTCAGGGACATGCACTACAAAAGACACAGTGTGGAGTTTAAGAAGATTTACTGCCTAACAAGGCATTTAAGACAGAAAATCACAAAATGTAGTGGTTCTCTGAGGGATGGAGATTAAGAGATAACATTGGAAGTTACTAGGATACAGCTGGGTCCATCATGGAATCTTGCTGGAGAAAATAACCTTATCTGTGTTGTGGTGTAGTGCTGCTGCAGATGGAGCCAGTGCTTGCAACGACAGTGTTCTGTACAGGAACTGGTTCAAGTCTGGGCTGCTCCACAGCTAATGCGCCTGGAAGATCAGTGGAACATGCACAAGTACTTGGGATCCTGCTTCCCACGTAGGACATTTGGAAGAAACTCCTGACTCCTGGCTTTGGCCTGGCCCAACCCTGACATTGGCAGCCCGTTAGGGAAGTGAACCAGCAAATAGAAGATCCCTCTTCCTCTCTCTCTTTCTGCATCTCTCCTTGTCTGTGACTCTGCCTTTCAAGTAAATATATATTTTTAAATAACCTTATAATGCCACTTGAAGAAGAGGGGGACTGCAGTCATGGCATAGCAGAATAAGCCTCTGCTGTGACTCCAGCACTCCACAGTGGTATTGGTTGATTCCCTGTAGCTCCACCTCAGATCCAGCTCCCTGCTAATGGCCTGGGAAGGCAGTGGAGGAACGCCCTTGTCCTTGGACCCCTGCACCTTCATGGGAGACCCAGAAGCAGTGCCTGTCTCCTGGCTTCATATTAGCCCAGCTCTGGCCACTGCAGCCATTTGGGAAGTGAACCAGTAGATGGATGATGTCTCTATGTCTCCCTCTCTCTGTAAGTCAGTCTTTCAATTAAATAAAAAAGAAGAGGGATATGGTAGCATATACAAGTAAAGTCTGGTAGTTCTGTGTCAGTTGAGGCACTTGGACCAAAATCTTAGATGTAGGAGCATAAGTCATCAGAAATAAAGGGAAGAGATAGATACACAACCCAGTGGGTTAGAATCCAGAATGCCTGGCTCAATTCCCCGCTCCAACTCCTGATGCCAGCATCCTGCTCAGGCAGTCCTTGGAGTGCAGCAGTTGTAGCTCAGGTAACTGGGTTTCTGCCACCCATGCGGGAGAACTGGATTCAGTTCCAAGCTCCCAGCTTCAGCCTGGCCCAGCCATAGTTCTTGTAGGCACTTTTTTTTTTTTTTTAGAGGGGTGGGGCAGGTGAACCTGTGGCTAAGAGCTTTCCCTGTGCTTTCTGCCTCTGGGAGCAGCAAGGCAAAGATAGGAGAAACACTATGGGCAGAACATTTGGCTTGGAGGGAGAATGGGAGTTAAGAGAATAACATCAAGTAATAATAATGGTTTGATGTGAAACTGACTTGGTCTTGATAAAAAGATTAGAAATAAAGGCAAGTCATGGGAAAGTGTGGGCTACATTGCCGACAGATTAATTTTGAACTTAAAACACCAAGACGGGACAGGTTTTTTTTTTTTAAGATTTATTTATTTTTATTGGAAAGTCAGATATACAGAGAGGAGGAGAGACAAAGAGGAAGATCTTTCATCCGATGATTCACTCCCCAAGTGACCACAAGGCTGGAGCTGAGCCAATCCGAAGCCAGGAGCCAGGAGCTCTTCTGGATCTCTCACGGGGGTGCAGGAATCCGAGGCATTAGGCTGTCCTCGACTGCTTTACTCCAAGTGGCCACAGTGGCCAGAACTAAGCTGATCTGAATCAAGGAGCCTTTCCTGGGTCTCCCATGTGGGTGCAGGGTCCCAAATCTTTGGGCCATCGTCAACTGCTTTCACAGGCCACAAGTAGGGAGCTGGATGGGAAATGGAGCAGCCGGGATTAGAACTGGTGCCCATATGGGATTCAGGTGCTTGAAGGTTGGAGAAGTCAATTGAACCGTTGTGTCAGCCCCTAGATTACTGTCTTTAAAGCAGTATGGAGGCATGTTCAACGTTCTCATCTCAAAATTTATATTGATAGATACAGTTGATGCAAACAAAACTTTTTAGGGTCTGTGGTAGTTTTTAACTTACTGTAAGGAGATCAAAACTTGTGAGAACCATGACTGTGTTATCATGGGGGTGAGGCAAAGGAAATTACAAAAGACTGGCAGGGAGAGAGGAAATGAGAGATGGGAGTTTCTGGGAGTAGGGTTCTCTAGGCCAGTAGAGGAGCAGGTATGAAGGCCATGAGGCAAGAGAGTGCCTGGCATTCTGGACAAACAGGATCAATTGGGTGCAGCTGTTGACTGACTGTGAGGAGTGGGAGGAGATCAGATCAGAGAGGTGAGGGTGTCTGGCCATGGTTAAAGATGTTACGATAAAAAAAAGGATTTATTTTTATTGAAAAGACAAATTTACAGAGTGAAGGAGAGGGACAGAGAGAAAGATCTTCCATGTGCTGGTTCACTCCCCAACTGGCCACAATGACCAGAGCTGAGCTGATCCGATGCCAGGAGCCAGGAGCTTCCTCAGGGTTTCTCATGTGGGTGCAGGGTCCCAAGGCTTTGGGCTGTCCATGACTGCTTTCCCAGGCCATAGGCAGGGAGCTAAAAGGGAAGAGGAGCAGCTGGGACATGAACTCGCACCCACGCAGGATTTGGTGCTTGCAAGGGAGGGATTAATCAATTGAGTTCTCATGTCAAGCCCTATTTTAGGGTGTTCTAAAGATTTTGGCTTTTACTCTGAGCGAAACAGGGAGCTGTGGAAGATTATACAGGTGTATACAATTGAGCACACTGGCTCTCTTGGGGGAGGGAAGCTCAGCAGGCCTCCAGGACCACTCCATCCTGGAGGTTAGGGTGCCCTTAACCGGGTGGCCCAGGCACCAAAGGTGCTGGGTAAAGCCCTCAGGCCGCCCTGGGGAGCACCCTCATGGTTAGAGAGTCTTGATATATGCAGGGGGATGATGGGATCGCACAGATAACACTGGGAGATGACCTGTGGTTTTTATGCCCAGGTTAGGAATTAGAGCTGAGGAACTTCCATTGATAAGTCCACAACATGTGTATGTATGTAGGGGACCAACACCAAAGTGGTTTGAAGGGGAGAACAAGAGAGGGGGAAGTGGATCTGATAGCAGAATCTATGAGGGCAATGTGGGCTCACCCCTGTGGAACTGCAATCTCTGCTGGCTTGCCCAGAAACTGCCAATAGGGTCAGGCCTTGCTGGGGAGCTAAGGGTGTACCCCAGCTGGGTTGGAATTCCCACTGGTGAGAACAAGAGTCTGATTGAGGGCAGCAGGCGAGGCTATACATGGCTGCAGACTGCACCGGCATGGGTGTGCACTGGGATGATGGAGTGAGATTGGGCTTGACTCCTGCCCCTACTGGTACTCATGAGAGACAGTTTGGGTGTAGAACAGGCCAGAAAGGTCTTGACTCCCGCTGAACTACACGAAAGCTGTGACTGGGCACGGACCAGGTAGCACTGGGCTGGCTGCAACACCCAACAACAAGAACCAGATTGGTGTGGCTGGTTGAGCAGGACCACTGTTCTCATCAGGACAGGAGGTGGGCAAAGTCAGCCTGGGCCAATGACCCACAGGTGTGCGCAAGACCTGCCACTGGGAGGAGACTCGATAGAAGAGCTTGGGAAACTCCTTTACTGGGACACAGCCCCTGCAGGTGAGCGCAAGAAGCAAAGCAAGGAGCAGCCCAGACCATACCAGGTTACAGTACTCACCAGCATACATGTGGGTCAGGTCTGGGGACAGACCAGTCTGGGCCAGCACATAACACCCACTGGCAGATCTGAGAACCAGGGTTGGGGGCAGGAGGAGCCAGATCAGGCCACAATACCAGCCAGTTCACATTAGGACTGGGCTGGGATAGGAGGCAACACCCATCAACAGGAACTGGAAAAATGGGCAGACTAGACTAGGCCAGGCTGCGCAATGAGACTGTGGATGCTGAGGTGAGGCGGGTCATGCCAGCCTGGACCCAGCGGGCGCTAGGTACATGAGTCCCAGGGAGAGGGGATCTGACAGGACTCAGGTAGCTTTGCTCAGGTCATGGGGCCCACCTGTGTGGTGAGGGATGGGTTCTTGACCCTGGGGATAGGGGAACTGACGGGCTGTGGGTCACTTGGCCTAGGTCCTGGGGCCCACCTTCTAGGTGCGTGTTGGGTTCATGTACCCTGGAGGTGGGGAATCTGGTGGGGCTTGAGTCTCCTGTCCCAGGGCCCAGGGCCCACCTACTAGGTGGGTGCCAGGTTTGTGAGCCCCAGGGGTGGGGGATTTGTCGGGGCTCAGGTCACCTGACCTGGGTCCTGGGGCCTACCTGTGAGGTGGGTGCTGGGTTTATGAGCCCCAGGGGTGGGGAATCCAGCAGGTCTTGGGTCTCCTTTCCTGGGCGTTGGGGCCCGCCTACTAAGTGAATGTCAGATTTGTGAGCCCCAGGGATGAGGGGATCCAGTGAAGCTTAGGATACCTGGCCCAGGTAATTGGACTCGCCTGCAAGAACATGCCCTACTTAATGGAAAAGGTAGAGCAGTGGACACAGGTCCTATTGTAAAAGGAAAATATGGCAGTATATTTGGTGCTGTAGCAGAACAGAACTAACTGGACAACTATCCTATTCAAAGGATGACAGCAAAAAATCTTGGTGAGTGGAACCAATGGACATTGGGTGGGTGGCATCATCCTCAGATCAGTGAAATAGGCAGCATTTCAGAACTATCCAAACCCTTTGGACAGAACTCTCGGAATATGTACATGTTGAGACTCTGGGTTGATATGAGGTGCTGGTTCCTCATCTCTGGGCACTGGGATGTGTGGAAAGTTGTGGGTGGCTTCTCCCTTTGTCTCTCCCCTTCCCACAGAAACAACAAGAAGAAATACCAAATTTGGATGCAATGAATTCACCCA